AGTTCTCAGTGCAGTCTTTGAAACAACCGTATGCGTCTTTCAGCCAAAAATGTTGTTAATTCAACACAGATAGGCAGCAACCAACGTGGTTGTCTCCATATCTGTGATACCGCTTTAAAAGTTTTTATCTCTTTAAACACATGCTCTATTTTGACCCTTCTTTTCGATAGAGCTCGATTGAACTTTCTGGTATGTCTCCTCCCTCTTTGGTTTAACAGAGGCATCTGCCCTGCACGAACAGGTGTTAGTAAAGCTCCTCCATCAGGATAACCTCTATCGGCCAACAGTTTAACACCTGGCGGAAAATCTAGGACTAAACCGGGCCCTATAGGCTGCATTAACCTRTAAGCAGTCGCATCATGTGTGCTACCCAAGAAGCCAGCCTGAAGAAACCGAATATGGCCCTCATTATCCATTACCAAGAGAATATGAACTAAGAGAAGGAATCCCCGTGCCCCATCATGTGCACACTTTGATGCTATTTTTAGAATCTATTCTGAAAATATCATCCAATGGTATCATTTATTTGATCGCTTGATTTTCTGCACGCGCATAGTACGCATTGAGTGTTTAGGCGGTGATAGTGCCTATGGCCTCTCTAAATCTCTAAATCTCATGTGGGGTTGCATCTATAGCACCGACGGCATTTGGTAACTCTGGCCAGCTGCCCATTAGATTTCTCCACTCCGCGAGGTTCGGGCCAGGTGATTTGATTTTGAAAATATCTCCACATTACTTACTGGTAACGTCCTGTAAATAATGCGGATAACGGACGTAGGGTCTATATCAAACCACAGTGCTAAAGTGTCTATATGAGAATATTTACGTAACCAAACCATCACAAGCAGAACTTGGTTAACTACGTTTATTTTCAGTCTCCTCTGGCGTACACGGGGTTGCCCGTCTAATCTTAAGTTCTGCAAGGTTCGGAGGATATCGTTCGCAAGTCTGAGAAACGACACAGGAGTTTCACCAGTGGTCCGCCAGAAGAGGTGCGCTTGCCTTGATATAAGAGAAAACACATCTCTACCACGAAATACGTCCCCGTGAAAATTCTCAAAAAGACGATGTTGTAAGGAAGATTTTGTTGAGGTGGTGGCCTAATAAAGCCGACAAACAGCAATTTCCAGGTGACTATATTTAAAAGAACTACTCGGACTTGCTGCGCATCCATGCTGCAGGAACTGCTGAGCGAAGATGCGCATTCCAACACAAAACACGTTCATGCCGTTCGCACGTGAATCATCACGCGTGCGCTATAACTTTGTATATTGCGCTTGCTGTGTACGGAGCGAGAGGATTCATATTTACACTCAGCTGACTCCTCTCGAATTTCTAATAAATGAGTTGTTCAGCAAACGGCCAGGTCAGTATCTAAACATATAACTTTTGTATTGGTGCTTTCGATATCAACCCTCAACCATATTTAGTTTGCTGTTTATTACGAATTTTAGGTCCCTCCAAAAAAAGTCGGGTCGGAATTGGAGAGAAGGAAAAAAGTGTTGTTCTCGAATGTTACAACACTCTTAACAGCAAAGTATGGAAAGAGGTTGTCTTGACAGCACGACAGAAGCTTGGAGAGATAGCAGCAAGCATGCCACAACACTTAGTTAATCTGTATATAACCCAAACAGACGAGTCCCTCTCCAGACGCATGCAAAGCATAGTAAAAAGTGCTATGCAGCAGCCCTATGCCCCCAAGTCAGGAGAGATTGGAACGGAGAGACAACTTCTAGTTTCAAATCAAACTAGATGTTCAAGAAAAATGCATTCAGATGAGAAAAGGGCTAAAGCCCTCAAGGTAAAGCTGGATCAGAATTTTGCTGATTCATCTCCTAGCGAAGACGAGAGTATCGAACCTTCTGCTAAGAAGAAGAGGAAAGTAGACACAGCGAAAGAGGCTAACCTCGCACATGCAAAGATGTGCGAAAAAGCTGTGAGCACTATGGAGAAAGTTAATCAGCTTTTGCTGAAAGTAGACAAATACATCAGTGATCAGAACGGAACAAAACCCTAAACAGAGAGACTTTTCAAGTAAAAACTGTAGAAATTCGTCGAAGAAATGTAGAATGATTTATTTGAATGAATTGAAACT